CACCTGGATTTTCTTCTCTACAGGTCATCAGAAGATAGATATGAAGAGCTACCTGGTATAGTTTCTCTGTCTCCATTGTATATGCCGCTTTACAGCTATCCAGAGCGTCCCAAGGTTGAAAACCGGAGAAAAGCCAAAACCGAGATTTCATATTTTCGTTCATCATCTTCTTTCTTCAACAGGTCTAGCGACTACCTAGTTCTAACAGTAATTATAATTTTATCATCATTTGATAAAGCAAAACAGCCTTCACAATCTTTGACTACCATTTTTTTATTATTCTATGTAAAATTTATAAAGCTTTAAAATACACCCTATAACCTAGTAAACTCTCTTACGCTATCTTATAAAAAAGTAAACAATACATTTTTCCTAATACTTGTTAGATTTTTATTGAATATAGTAATCAAAAGGCCTAAAAAGTCTCGACTCTGTCAGATAATAGCAATGTTGCATATACTAGTGACAAAAGGATTAATATTCCTATTGTTTTAAGGGTTTTTATTGTTAGTTGGGTTCTTTGTTATTGTTCAGAAAATAATGCAGAGTTCATTACACTTCGTTTCTTCTACCACTAACTCTACAATCGCAACGAGTGAGAGAGCTAACTCATAAATAAATCTAAACAATCACTTGTTAAATTTCCTCGTGATTTTACGCACAAACTCAAATCTGACTGCTTTATACACTCGCTAACTCAATAATCGATCGACAACACTGAAACAAGTTCTTCAACTAAATGATTCATTGTCTAACTAGCTGACAAAAGCTTACTGGCGAACTTATATTATTACAAAGTTTTTATAACATCTGTAGAAAAGTCAAGAATTCATTTGCATGTCCCCTAAAGTCTAGACACTCGGGAGATTTTTAGGCGTACGCATTATCATTACCTTAATGTAAAAACAACCTCTAGCAACCAAAAAAAATATATATATAAGTTACATATTAATACATACTTCACAACCCTCCCATTCGTGGATTACGAATGTTCCATAGCAATTCTAATACACAAAGAAAATAACAATGTACTAAACCAAAAATTCCATAAACAGCAATAAAATAACTCATTACAATTATCAACATTAATGCAGGTACATATAAAATTACAGTTATTGAATGGATACTCAAGTATGCAAAACACAAAGCACATTCTTGATTTTATCAACAAGGTAGTATTTATTTATATATTTTTTTGCTCATTTATGCTGCTTAAATAATTTTGGTTGTTTTCTATTCCATAGCTTATGGTACGAAGATGGGTTGACCTCTTGACCTTCAACACTTAATGTCTCCTCACTAGGAAATTCTCTATAGGTGGATGGTAAAGGGAATTCACTAGTGGCTACATCCTTGGGGATACTCTGGAAGTGATCTCGGCAAGTATCTCGAGCTCTGCAGCAGGTCGACTTACTTCTAGTGAAGTTAAGCAATTGGCTATTTTCCCATCGATGACCTTCCATGTTTTCAAACAAATATCTTCCATGACAGTAGTTCAAGCCGGCAGCTACTGTTTCTGTTTTCTAAGTAAGGTATAATTTATTATTTTTTTATTGTTACTTTCATTAAGTATTGGTTATAATGTTTAGTATATCGAATATCATTACTTTTTATTTTGATCTATTGTTTATTATTATACTTTTATTATAAATATTATTTTTCATTGGTAGCTTAATATGTGTATTTAGAACTAACCTAAACCTTCTATGCTGGCAAAACCTAATGAGATATTATTGGAATTACGGCCGAAAATATAGTAAAACAGCAAGGATACCCAACTGATGAAACAGCGCATCCTAATCTTTATTAGCAGAAAAGTAAGAAAAGTATATTTAATCAGCTACACTGATTTTTTTTATTTCACTCTATATATATAGTTTCCTCCGATCAGAAGTTAATATTATTTAAAGACCCTTGGTTTGGACCACTTTTTCTTCTAGATTTCGTTTTGCTTCACTTCAGGTTAGTCGTCGTCATTATCTTGTGTTTGTGCACCCATCTTTATTGCTATTTGAAGTTTAACCTCTTGTGGTTAATTGTCATACAGTGCATAGGGATTTCCCGATCATAGACTGTGAAGCCATTTAAACACTAGTCTAATCACGCCCCATGCCAATTATCCAAACATCACGTTGTGGTGAGGGTGACTTCTACCTTTCTTCTTGTTGGAACTCGACGCCCACTTGCTTTTTGCATCAATCCATCTTCTTTCTTCATCCGTGGATGCAATTTCCCAACTTTCTTTATCAGGTCGGGTAAGAACAGTTGTAGCCATGGAACCAGTGTCCATCAACATGCTTCAAGGCTTCTCATCAATAAATAGCTTGACTCATGAACTAGTTTCTTTAAATAGTACACTACTTATTTGTGCTGGAAGCAGAAGGAATATTCTCATCCTCAAGATATCGTCCCCTTGGTCTTGGATTATTATCAATAATTGTTTGAACACAGTCTTGGATGAAAAGTCCATGTTTTCCCTCACTTATGACAATTTCCTGTTAAAGATTTTGTGTGCAGTTCTTGACAATAGGACCTTTTAATCTGCAACTGAAACATCTTCTCTCTTGATGACAAAACCTTGTCGAAACGTTGTACATTTGCTGTTATGTATATTAAAGTTTTTCTTCATTACCCATTCAAGCCGTCTCCAGCCATTATCTTCTCTCCTCTGTTTTAACTCTTCTATTATCAATAAACTGTTGTCTGCAGTTCTTGGAAATATACCTTTTTTAAGTTGCACTTGAAAACACCCTTTGTCGTGTAGTTTACTTCTTTCATGCTGAATTAACAGTTATATAATGAATGGTTTGAGCTGTACTTGGAATTCATCAGATAAGTGAGGATACTACTATACCACTCTACTATTTTATCATATGGTTCATATTTCCTGGATGGTGAATTTAGTTGTTTATGTGTAACTTTAATTAATTCAAGTTCCACCGCCAAATGGCAGCTTCCTTTAACGATATACATCTACTTTCCTTTAGCTTAATTCACATATCTTCATTCACTACACATATAGAATTGATCAAATGTCAATGAAGCCACCATTTCATGTGGAGCATCTGGGTAAGGTAATTGACAAGGCTTTCTGCATCTTCTGTAGATTTAGTTAAGGCCTTGTCTTTTTCTCGTTTTTCTGCCCCTAAATTTTGCTTTTGAAACTTCTTTTTAATATGACATTGTAAATGTTTTTGGCAAAGCAGTCACCTATGCCTGATAGTTGTTACGGTTCTGAGCTGGAAGGTTGTTTAGTGTTGTTAAATCAGGCCTTTTTAAATGGGCAGCAAGATGAGAGGCTTATTGTTCACTGCTCCTTTCATTCACCTTAGTAATTATTTTGAACCAATTCTGATATGCCTTCCACAATACCTTTCCACCATAATATGTTGATTTATCAATTAGGCAATTTTATTGAGCTGGCTAGCTAAATTCTGGAACAAGATTAGTCAACGATGTAACTGTAAGGAGTCCAGGGATGTTCTGCAGTCATAGGTGCAACAGGTGTAGGCCAGATGGGTTCTCCTCTTTCATTTTTCAGAGTTATTGGCATTTGAGGTTGTAATTATCTGAAAGATGCAGGCAGAGGTGTGGCATGTTTGGCCCTTGTAGTTACAAATGCATTTTCAATATATTTTATTTTATCGTTGATATTCTTTTCTATCTCGTTGATTTTGCTCTTATAATCTTTCTGTACATTTCCAATAGCTTCTTCCGATTGTTTTCAATTAACCTTATTTTTGATCTTAATTTTTCTTTAAATTTTACGTTTTCTTTTAACTTTTCTATTAAATTCTTATTCCATACTTCTTGATCTTCTTTCACATTCCTTTGATTTTTTGTCTAATTTCCACTCCCTTTCATCATATTCTAAATTTCTGTCTATTCCTATTATATCTTCCTTTAATTTCCTGTTGCATTCTCCTCTTTGTTCTTTTAATATTATTTTTCTTCTTGGTCAACTTTCCACTGTTTCATCATTTTCAGCAAATTTTCAATTTCACTTCGAGCACGTGTCGGCATCTTAAAGTCTAGTCTTGGTTCTATTTTATTTGTACCAGAATAATCTCATTTTTCACAGCAGTGTTGTAATATTCTCAGGTGTTTTAATGGACTTCAGAGTAATCAGGTGGATTCCATGGACTGACAGGCGGTTCAACAGTATAAAATTCGTGAGTAAATCTGACTTTGACTAAGACGTGAGATAAAGAGACATGGCACATGTGTAACAATGTGAAACACTCTTTATTTATACAACAAAACAATAAAAAACAATGAGTGTGACGATACAAAAGGCAGTGCCGTTACTGGAGGTTTGAGGGTTTTCAATGGAGAAATAAATCACTCTGAATCTCTGTGAAGCATATACTATTCAGACCTGATAAGGCATAGAATTATATAGATGAAACAATAGTGCTATTCTTTTCCAGGGCATGTGCACTATCTACGCTACGATTTCTAATTACCATCGAAAAATACAGAAGAGTGTAACTTTGAGGTATCATCTGACCAGCCAGTAGAGAATATTGGTGTTTATTTTTGCACCTAGAATACCCAACTTTACAGAAATAATTCCCACGAAAATGGGCCCCCAGTGACACAGCGATATGTCTGCGGACTTACAACTCTATAATCCGGGTTTCGATACCCGTGGTGGGCAGAGCACAGATAGCCCATTGTGTTGCTTTGTGCTAAACTTCAAACAAACAAACCCACGAGAATGCACACATACTACCTTAGGTTAATGACCTAGAGCATAAGGAATTTGGCTACTTCCTTGACCAAATTTCTATGTTAAATCTACATACACTTGTATGCATAAAAACGTTTTTTCTATTAGATAAAAGGGTAGAAAACACGTAGCATGGCTTAGGTTTGTTCTTTTATATTATTCGTTAGAAATAATGCAAATTCCAATCCTCTTAATGAAAGGAAAAATAACTTGTTTCTTCTACCACAAGTTCTAGAAACTTAGCGATCTAGAGAACTAACTTATAAGTAAAACTATACAGTCACTAGTTAAATTTCATTTCATATCTACGGCACAATCTCAAAAATAGTTGACTTGCTAACTCAGTAACAGATCGACTATAACTAACTAACTGATTAACTATCTAACTAACTGAAAACAACTCCTGGTGTTTTTATGTTACTACATTATTTTCCCAAAGAAATCTAGAAAATTCGAAACGTCATGTACAAGTCGCGTCAAATCTGGACACTCAGTATTATTTTTATATACACATAATCTTCAAACCTCCCTCTATCAAACAATACAAAACGTCTAAAGTAAAATATTAAACATAGTTCATAACATTATTAACTGTTGTAACCAAAATTATTGTCACCTTATAGAACTTTTACCGTGTTACATTTAGTTCGAACAGTAACTAACCACAATAATACATTTGTTATATTTCGCCCTTCTCTAGTGCTTCATTAAAATTTGAATGGATTGCACCTTAAAATTCGTCAAAACAGAAACGCTAGGTGTCGCTACGGGTTGTGGGTAGATTTCGCCCAAAAAATGAAAAAAAAGAGCTATCGCCATACTTTGAAAATGTCACAGTAGGTTAAGTGGAGCATGTAATAAACTTAGGTAAATTTCTACATCGCACTCACGTGTTTGACAATGTTTTTTCTTTAGATATTTTTTTATCTTTCAGCAACTTGTTCCTTTATTATGTAAATAAACTTTTCGAAAAGGATAAGTTAGCACAAACTCAGCTATACTTATAATTTTGATTGAATGGAGAGTAGAATTACACTCGGCATATGTACACTATTGTAAGAACTCTTTAAATTTGTATATTGAATTTAGCCCAAAGCTACTCGAAGGCTATCTGTACTAGTCGTTCGTAATTTAAAAGCGATCGACTAGAGGGAAAATAGCTAGTTAACACTATCCATCACCATCTCTTGGGCTACTCTTTACCATCGAAAAATGAGATTGACCGTCACAGTATAATGCCCCCACGGTTGAGAGGATGAGCATATTCAGTGACGGGATTCGAACACGCGACTCGCATATTGCAAGTTGAGCTCCTTAACCACTAGGTCATAACCCTTTACATACAATGATAAATTTTCAAATGTGTAATCAAATCTCTCGATTAATTGTGAATAATTTATATATGTAAAATAACATCATCATTATAATAATCAGAAATTGTAAGGGTATGAAAAACAGGAAAGCATATAATGAAAGGCAGCATATGTCTATATGGGGAAACTCTGATGTTTTGGTTGTAGTAATACTAATCTAAATGCAAATAATCACTGTAACTACAAAATTAACCTTAAAGTGGAATCATACACAAAAAGGGCACTTCAAGATACAATAAACTCAAACCCTTTATTGATCATTATATATATATATATAGTATAAACTAAAACACAGCTACAACTCATAAGAGAAAATTATAACACAACTTAAATAAGCACAAAACTTAAAATACATAGTTGTTACATATTCTCACCCAATACAATAGTCTTAAAAATATATATAAATAGCCTTTCATATTATAGCTTCTTTGTCCTATATAGATAGTCCATTACAAATTCTCTAAAAGACAAATGAAAAATATGTATCCAACACAAAATGAAAAGTAAATATAAAAACGCACTTCTTTGCATGTAGGTGCTCTAGCAGGTCTACTCCTGGCTAGAAAGCAGGTCATATAGAGCTATGCTTGATTTCTTTCCCTCTGAAGACATCTGCCAAATAATACTGGTGGCTCAGACTATCTTGCAGTAGATCTCAACTAGTTCTTCTTCCAATGAAATGTTTCTGGTGCCTTGTACTCGTCTCACAGATGGGCTATGATTTGAAGTGATTTCACCATTGCATCACTTCCACGGCTTCAAATTTTGAAATGATGGTCAAGAGCTCTGCTGGAAGCTCTTGTGTCTACTTGGTGAATAGAAATGATGAAATAACCACCAAGGCTGATGCAGAGATTGCAGATACAGTCAGTGTCTGAGAAGATGATTAAGTGCTTTCAGAGGTTTGGGGGGGGGGGGGGGGTCATGTTGATATTTTTTGCCAAATGGTAAACTCTGTTTGAACCACACAGAAGTTAATCTGTGGTTGACTAAATTAGTAGCTTAGCATATTGATGTTTTACTTTTTTCAAGATGTGCTTCTATTGAAGATTGTTTAAGACAAGAAACGTGTCATTGGGCCCTTTAGTGGCCCAGCTATATACTTCTTTATCATCTCCAGCTGTTACTGGCGAGGCCTTTATCCAGTTGGTGATGAAGTTGTTGGCTTACTTAGCTGGGACGAGCATTACTAGAGGAAGAAGTATGCAATATGCTCTCCATATGCACAAAACCAGGAGAGCAAGGAAAGAAATAAGAAGATAATGTATTACACAGAAATACTATATACACCTCTGTTAACATAGATTAAAAAAATCTTACGTATAAGAGTATGTGGTTTTAAGATAGACCTTGTTCAAGAGGTTCCTTTTGCTCTAATTACCCACTGAACTGGGTCATTTACTTAGGGTATAACGTGTGCCTTCTTGCAGGAAAGATTTCTGTGAAGAAGAACAGATTATATGAAAGTAGACAGCAATATTTTCCACTGTCGGGTCAGGTAATATCTTGAGGATGCAATCTCCCTTATTTTTCTTATCTTTTAGAGGGCTCTCAGTCCTCAGTAGAAGTACAGTCCTTTGTTCACAATTGTCAATTTCATTGTTCTGGTGCCTTGAATTCAAATGGCTTTCGTATTAATTTCATTGTATCCAGTCTGCTTCTTTTCACAACTGAGTCAAAGTCAGAGAAAACAGTTTCACTTCGCATAAAGTTTTCTGTCGAACCTCCAGTTATTCTGGAGTGCATCTGAGTATACCACACTAAGCTGATGTTCAGTTCCCTTAATGTCTTCTCTCTTAATTAATCCCTGGAGAGCATTATGAGACAGAAGACTGGGACAGGCAATGGTCTAACCACCTTCATAGATGTAGAAGCGATACGACTGCTATCATCTTTGAAGTTTATCAAAACTGCTAACTGGCCAAGTCATCCAGCTCGACGAAAAGCTGAATTTTGATATATAAAATATCCTTCATTTTTCTGTTGCTTATATTTTTTTATCATGATAATATAGAATTATTATCCCGATAATATCTAATTAATGTGATTTAGTTATATTAATGTTTCTAGTTTTATGTGGTTAGTTCAATTATCACAATAAAATTCATTAAATGTTTATAGTAACTTATCATACCCTCATTTGTCCATTTATATATCTCAAACATGCTATTCTTTTGTTGAGTAAATCCTAAATTTTAGCCCAATTTTCCAATCTTAATTTTATTTAAAATACATGTCTGTTGAATGTTTAAAATGTAGCATTGGTTCTTTAGTCGTTTTTAATGTTCGGTACCACTTATGACAATTTAAAAATTTTAATAGATAATATAATAGAACTTTTTACAGACCTAACATTTTTCAGTTATGAACTAAAGAATCATTACTCAACATTAATTGTATATTAGTAAAATTAGAATATGGTGCCCTTTACGATAACCAGTAGTTTCTGTATAAACTTTATTGGACTTTGGTTTGAATATTTGTATATATTAATTTAACATAAATCTGAATTCAAACTTCATATGAAACACTTAAATGGAAGTCAATTTCAACAGTTCAAATACGGAATTTTGTTCGTTTTTCATGCATTCAAATGAAAACAATTTTGTGTTGTATTATTTTATTAAATAAACATTATCTGAGGTGTGTTTCAAAAAGTGACATTATATAATTGCAATAGGTGAAAATAAAAGTAATCTCCATAATAAAGTATAATTGTAATTATTCTAACGTAATAAGACTGATTGACCATTGGTATCAGTTGAACAGAATGGAAACACCAATGAAACGTTCTAAGGTGCATGGGAGAGTTTGTGATGACAATAATCCTTAACATATATGTTTCCGTGCTGTCGAAAATGTATCATACGCACCGGAAGTGTTGCACATGTGTATCCGGACGTTCCTTCACCCACGTACGATAAGCGAGACTTTGTTAACTATATATTAAGTAGACTACAGCTGCTTGTGGGAACTTCAGAGTGAGTTTACATTACATTTATGTGCACCAAGAAACATCGCGGTGATAGATCTAGTTAAGAGAATACGTTACGTCAGGGCCTTATTAGTAATAATTCTACGCTGTGGTTGGCTGTATCGTCTACACCCACCATGTTAGGCCTTCTAATCGGCAACTTTACACAGCATTGTGAATAAATCAGATTACGGTACAAGAATGGGCCCACATTTTTTGAAGCGTAGTATTCTCATTAGTTTGGTAGTAAATTGTAAGTATTATTATTATTATTTATAATTTGGTACTACATATGATAATTGAGTGATACTCTTTCAGAGATGACTTTTTATGAAGTTGGAAAAAGAATCGCCAGTGGCAACATTGAATTTTGTTTCTTTTCTAATCTGTCGCCCCTACTCAAGTCTATACCAGCAGTGTTTTTTTAACTACACTGGCTTTTAAGTTATTCAATATATTTATAGAAAGTGTTTTATAATTTATAACAGGATAAAAGTATATATTTTTTATATTTTCTTTTAAATTATATCGGAATATTACTTTTCTTATAAGCATGAAAACGTAGTTTGACTGTTAGTTAGTGATTACATGCATGTCTGCCCTTTAGATATTGAACTCAACGTAACTGTTAAAAATCAGTGGAGATGTGAATTTTCAGAGAGATCCAGATTTTTTTAAATACAAGTTGTTACTGGAATTATTTAAGCATGTTGAAAAAAAAAGAGGTTTGGATGAGTACGATGTGTCTTGTAAAGCTTATCAATTTCGATTTATAAATTAAAATGCACTCAATATTCAATGAGCGCTCACAGATTCGGGCACAACAAATCTGATAAAATAATTCGTATTTTTAGGTGCTTTAGATTGAGAAATAGATATTAGTTTATATGCAAGAATGTATGTTATTAACTGGAATCGTAAGTAATTAATGAAATCAGTGTTACAGTACTGTGAATACACATACAAGCTGATGTCGACGAATGGAATGCACATCTCGATAAGTGTACAGGAAACATAATATTATGTAACATTGATCTTGTACCTTACATTTGTCTTTAGAAAGAAGATAAATCATCAAGTAACTCGCCTCCTATTACTAAGTATTAATTCTTCAAGTGTAAGAACACTAGACTAAGACATTTTTTTACTAGCAAATGTGTTTTTATTGGTTTGGGTTTTGCGTGAGATAGATCAAGTGACAGCTTCAGACTTATACAGTAATTCTACAAATACAGTCATAATATAGTTAACCTGAAAGACAATGGGTAAGAGCACGATTATATAAGACTCAAAGAAGGGCATGTTGGTTGGTGCTCTTATAGCTGGAGTTTCTTTATTGAAGACCATTTCTGTTGTAGGCTGTTTAAAATAATTTTTCATAAGAGTCTATTAAGAGCGTCAATGAACAAGAAAAAAATGTCATCTACTATAGAAAACTGTGGCCATCAACTGCTGGTAACTGACCAAGGGAAAGTATGTTGTTATGGACTTGTTAATTGAGTTGTAGTCCAAGAATTAACCAAGCATAAGATTACCCGATATTCGCAATAACAAGAGATTTGCGGTCCTAGTAAGTGAAAGGACAGTTTCAGTGATTTATTGTATGTAGAATGAAACAGACAAGAATTGGATCAAAGTTAAACCGTTATTAAAGAAAGAGAAATTTAATAAATGGCTTATCAAACAGATGGAGTTGTGTAGTTGGGTTTAAAACTAAAATAAATCAATAAACTGTATTTAGAATAAAAGTAAGTGGGAAAAGTTTATTTAAATAATAATCAAAACCTTTACTTGAATGTAAACTGGAGATTATTACTGGCAAATAACTAAATGGAAAGATTCGCACTCGATCAGCATGATGAATAGATTAAAACCATAAGGAGACTTCATTAGCACATATTGGCTTCTTCAGTGTTTGAAAACGCCAAAATTACTCGCATATTTCACATTCTTTCTTTAGCTGACCAATCACAAAGTTGGATCACAAATATCCAGAAGTATTTGTGCGCAAAGCAATTGCACCTACGTGAGGTAATGTAGGGCATAATAAAAACTGTCTCACGAAATAGTACATAGCATCCTTGACCAAATCATGCTACAAAAAGTAACATCTAGAGTTTAAATGGCACACGAACTTGACTTAATTTACTATATTCCAAACAGGAACTTTACATGATTTGTAGAATGTGATATGTGGTATTTGCATGCCGCAAATGAAACGCGTAATTGATTTGACTCAGCTGACTGATTCAATCGAAGGTAATCAGGATTCAACCATCTTCAAAAAGCTTCATGAGAAGGATATTGTAACAAATGTCATATGGTAATTGAAACCCATTTTCAACACTGCTCAACTCAAATGTAAACACAAAAACAAGTCCTTTGTGGTGCTTAGAGCTTAAACTGCTGAAAATGAATTTGTAAGATTATACAACGAATCATTTTACACCACTTTCAGTATGCTGATAATAGCGAAAAATATAGGGAAAAAAAACGTGAATTATTTGACCCCATTTGTATTGTTCCAATAGGACAAGATTTTTCAATCGAATAAAATATTTTTGTGACTTGGGGTGAATTATTTGATACCTTTAGAAGGATGGCAAAACAACCAGAGTATACATGAATGTTGTAAGTAATCAGTTATATCTAATAATAAAAGATTTCACCACTGGTGAATAAACACTTTTCCACGATGACATTGACATTGAAACAATCACGGCGCTCGTGTTGCCCAACGTTATTTTCAATATAAAAAAGGGAGTTCAGACGTATTATTGAATTAATACAATTACTAGATATCAATCCAATTCTACAATATTATAATATACATTTGCTGCCGTTTTCTTCTTTCAATTCTTGTCGTATTATACTCTTGGACGAAGGGAACAAACCACGTTCAAGTATCATGTAGCTTTTGTTTTTCCTATGCTGGATCTCAATCGTTATTGATTCAACAAAATGTTAGGTTGGGGGGTCCTAATAAAGTTATCCTAAAGTTTACATTAGGGTCCTGCGAAGCTTCGAGATTCGATTTAGTTCGTCAGCAAAAAGGCTCCGATTCAATATTTTCGAACGTACGTCACTTCCGGTAAACTTTAAAATTTATCTTTTAATTCAGTCTATATTCTGGAACCTATTTCCTTGTAAGAACACTTTTGTACCATTCTTCTTCCAGATATTTAAGTATTTATATATTTTGTTTTTAGAAAGATTTAGTTTGTATTTTGTTCCCAGAAAGATGTACTTTGATGCTCATTACTAATTGTGTGTACAAACACTCTACATAAAAAAAAAAGAAACAATTTTCTACATGATTTAAAAATTTAATTTTGCCTATATACCCTACAATATATATATATATGCACAGCCAATTCGATTTGATTAGAATATTCGGGATGGTTCGATTTTTAAAACAAAATTGTGATTCGCAGGGCCCTAGTTTACATGTATAATTATCTACAGTGAACTCGTATACAAGGTTGAAGATATCAACTGAACTTCTTATATGTTAAACTACAAATACGTAAATAGTACTTTTATGTGTCAAACTGTAAACACAAATTGGTATGGCAAGATCGAAGTCGTAAGTTCAAATAATCCGTGTACAAATTCCACATTCTGCAATCTGGTCAACCCAAAGAATCCTAAGGAGCCCAAGTGCCTTAAAGGATCAAAATGAACAGTAAAGTAAAAACCCAAACAACATATTGAACAGATGTAAAACGATAAAAACCCACAACCTGTAAACCTATATCGTTTTATATTATGACTTTTTTGAGCCTACGTGTTTTTCTGACATCATGAAGATTTCAACGGATGTGATATTTCAATCGTATATTACACTGTGATTTAATGATTATCAAGTTTTCCACGGGCTAATTTGATTTATACAAGAATTTCTGCAGAAATTTATGTGAGTATATTTCTAAATAACTTTCGTCATCATTTTCCTTTGCAATCACGTACGTTGGCAATAGATTTCATTAAATGTCTAGTTTTCGTTTTGTGGTTGAATGAGGTGATTTGAAAGTACTGTTTAAAAATAACTTGATATATGTTATATTATAAACTTTGAGGGTACTCAATAATACTTTCGCTGATTACATTAAAATAATTAATTTAGATAAATGTAACATGTAATAAAATAATCCATCTTATTTAAGTTTCGACTATAGTTGTATTTGTATTTTATGTATATGATTGTAATATGCCTATTTTATAACAAATTGATGTTGCTAAATGGAATATGTCGTCATACACACGGAATACATTATATATATATATATATATATAA